TTTTATTTTCGAACTTCTAGGACAACTTGAAAGACGATTATTCAAACAAAGATTTTTAGATCGGAACAGTGCCTTGAATTTTTTAGAATATCACTAACGAGACAGTAGCTAAAAACCAACACTGTTGGTTTTTGTCGGATCCGGCAAATTCCCGGTCGGCGGATAATAACGGATCCTGCGACCGGAATCCCGTAGAATCCTATCGTCGGAAAGTGTCGGAAATCAAAGGATACTACCGGATCCGGCAGATTCCCGGTCGTCGGATAATAACGGATCCTGCGACCGGAATCCCAGAGGATCCTATCGTCGGAAAGTGTCGGAAATCAAAGGATATTGCCGGATTCCGGCCACCGGTCGGATCCGACTGTCGGATTTTGTCGGATTATCCGTGGTTCCTGTAGGATCCTACCGGGGAGATTTGACCTGGGTGATACTTTACTTTAGGATTCTACGTATAATAATTACTGTTGAATACTATGCGTGAAGCGTGAAAACTATAGAATATTAAAATTATAAGTAATTCTTGAAGTACTGGTCACGTTCATCAATATTCAATATTCAGTGTTCATTTTCAACGAAGCAACAACAGCTATAAAGTACCGTATATGAGCCAGTCCACATAAGCCACACCAGATTTTGCTCAATCAGAGATCCCAAGCTTTTGACTGTACCTTTGGGTGAACCTCAGCCTTGTAGTGCTTGAAAAGTTATTTTGAGCACCATCCCATTCATATCTTGAGAGAAAACCAATTTGAAACGTCCCAAGTCGAACATTCCGGTCTCGGGAACAGCCGGTTCTGTGGTATTCCGGAGATTTCATGGAAGCAGTATTCTGGTGAAAGGATACGGTGACCAGATTTATCCGGTTCCGGCCGTAATCGACAGGAACCTGTCAAGACTGGTAGCCGGATACGGTTTCCGGATTCCTGCATCGAATTCCGGACAATTCCGGGTAAGTTCCGGTCGGAAACAGCGAGTTTCTCGCAGGTTTTCGCCGGAAGTTCACGGAATACTGCTCCAGGAATCATTGACCTGGCGTGATTTTTCTATTTTTTTCATATAAAAGTCGTAAAAAACGGTAAAAACTCGCTCGAAAGATTCTAATATTTCGACAGGGAGTTCTCCAATACGGCTAAAAATTTGGTTCGAGGTCTAAAGCAACATACTCTGCAAGGTGGGATAGATTTTTGCGCAAATCTAGGGACTTCATTGAGTACCCCTCTATGGTGATCCGTCGTGGCTTACGTGGACTGGCTCATATATGAAGATATGTTATCATTATTGATTAACATATCTTTGTTTTCTCTCTACAAGACAAGAACTACTCTATATACTGTTTTTAGAATCTTACATATAGGTATCTACATCTTTTCCATGTGTTACTAAATGTACTAATCATTCTCATTGAATTTAATAAGATCGATCCATAATATGAAATAAAATTGTTTATAATGTATTTTGAAAATGTGATTTAATTACATGCACTATACTATTTCTGATCAATATGTTATAGATGTGTTTACGAGTTATTTTTAAGCGAAAGAGAAAACAAACAAAATTTTAACATTTAAATCTATAAAAATGATTATAAACATTGATGACTTCAGTGTTTAAATGGTGACTATTGATAGTGGTTTGTTACTTAGATATTATATTTCTGCCAAAAAAAGATATATGTTTATTATTTGATTTATAAGTATTCTACCATAGAGAAAGTTCGCAGAACACCTAATTTAGTTATCAGATGTTAATAGGGCAGTTAGAAATTTACACCCTAAATCAGTTTTTCTATATTTATTTACCATCTATTTATAAGTTTTAAGGTATATTTCTTTATGTCATTATATATCTCAATCTGATTAACTCAAAGAAAACGAAACGGATACTTATAAATCAGGTAATTGTCTCATAAGGCGTAATAGAATTCTAATATGTAAGCAGTATTGAATCATTGGATTTCGTTCGGTCATACTCTTCGTTTTGACCAATGTATTTATCAGTCTATTCAGAACATTGAGACATCAAAATGAATCGAAAATAATTGCTTCCATGATTCATTTCTTTTTAAATCTTTCAGGATTTCAATATTTTCTTCTATAAGCCAATAGCTAAAATGAAAAACTGAGAAAAAAATGATTTTAAACCGTAATGATCTGAGTTTAGATGTCCATTAATAGAAAGACATGATTTCCACACGAACAGCTTCATACGTCTAGGTGCACAACCACATTCTGCTATCAGCCGCATATACAACCACATACGTATTTTCAAAACTTACTAGAAGGTTTCATAAATTTTCACCATTCTATATTTCTACTATGGCTCAAGAAAATTCTTACTTAGCGTCTCATTACAATTTTTCACATTTTTATATGTTTATTTCCTAGGTATGAAATCGTTGATTATTTAAAGTTATGAGAACATATCTTTAATGTAGTCGATTTATACTAAGTGCCAAACAATGAGTAGTGAACGAAAATCGTTTTTTGAAACAGTATGTTGATAACCACATTGATTTCAATTAGACAAAATCGAACAACCGTACAAGACTCTGCATTAAGAGACGTGCTTTTATTTTTGCTAAAGAGTGACAAGAAGTATTCAGTATACTCTTGCGAAGAATACGAATGTGCTAGCCGTTACTGATGAAGTTTTATTTTTCTCGTTATTAGGATAGTTCAAAGTTCTCTGTTATTGAGAACTCATTCAGAGCTCCGAGATCCTGGAAAGAGAACTAGCAATGAACAACTTTGCTAGTTTTCCATAGCTATTGCTTACTGGTTCTAATGCATTGGTTCATCATTCAAAACATATTCTTCATCGTTATACTTATTTTAAAGTATATAATTTAGTGACTGATTTATTGAAGTATTTCTAGTTTCGTCTATTGGATTCTGCACGAAATATTATCTACTCTTTCTTTGTCGTCATTTTTTACAAATGAAATGATGGACATTTATTCACTACTGATGCATGATATCATCTAGAGTTGTATTCAATTGCATCTCATTCAGAACAGAATAAGATTCGTAATGGAAACAATAGCTTGAACGTCCTTTGTAGTATAGATATGTAAAAACGTATATTTCAATAGATTCATCGTTCCTCCCAAGTAGGTTTTAAATTTCAAAAATTTTCTGACCGTACGAAACTATGTAGAAAAATGTTTGCTTTTTCAATTACGTTTAAGTTGATTAGTTTATCTGTTGGTGCTTTCTATTTCAAATGGCAGTCAGATTGATGCTGATATTTATTTATAACATCTGTATTTGAATAGTTATGTTATCATAAGAGGAACCAATTATTTTCTTATCTCATTTCAATAATAAGCATCATTTAAAGAATGCTTTCACATAGAAAATCGTGAAGCTTCAAGCAGATGTATTCTTATTTTCATTTAAAACATAAGTACTTAGAAACAAGAGAGAATCGATATTGTTCGTTATGCATAAAATAGCTAAAAAACATAATTTGAATGTTACCAACGCCATATTTGGATAATCCAGATTAAATGTACTGTAGGAAGCCTTCACTGATATAACCTAAACGATTTTTTTTAGAAGAAAAGCATTTAGAATGTTAGTCAGATAATTATATGATGATACGAATAGTATGAATTCATCTGGGAGTGACATCAAGAAACATTCGATTTAGACATAAAATAGATCAGTTTATTACAAACTGAATCCAAAACAAACGTACATCATTAGTTTTAGAGAGACAAATTCAAACTTAATTAATAGAATTTGCTAATGTAGTATAAGTCAGGGTTGAGAAACAAAAATATGACAAAAAGTATGTCTCGTCAAAAGCAAAAGAGAAATAACAGTTTATAAACAAAAAAAACAGATGAATCTAAAATAGAAGGAGATGTTTTTACTTTAATTTATACTGAACAAAAAACAATGCTTAACTGTCACTTGATATTTAGTGCAGATATGTGAAAGTACTATTTATGGACAAGTACCAAAAATTAATTAAAAACAGAAAGACTAAGGCTATGAAGTTCGAGACAAAGCATAAAAATATATTTTTTTGTCAAATGAAAAACTTTAATCATAATTCAAAGAATATTTTGTTTCAAAGAGTCTTTATAGTTTATTTGGATTGAAAAAATGAATTAACGTTTATGAAATTGATTTTAGTGGTAATTCTATTTCAAAATTTTCCTTATTCTTATAATCACATGATGTTAAATTAATACGTTATTTTATTATAATGGAATCCTTTCTTCTTCTTTTTAGTTTTACAGAATTTTTTTCCTGTTTTCAGAGCATTAAGTAAGAGAAAGAGATCAAGTCGCGTTTGTTTTTCATTTTTTTACATTGACTAGCAATCTTCACCTTGTTACATTCTTTCTGCTCGTTGTTTTTGGCAAACCTTTGTACTCTTGCATCGATTAGCCTCAAGACAAAAAGAAATTTTTGTTTGCATTTGATAGAACGCAAAGAATATACTATGCTTAAAATAATAATAAAAGACAGTCACAATTTTCAATAGACAACAAAACAAAACATTGTGTCTCTATTTATAATGGATGATAAACATGTTTTTAAGACTATCAAGAATAATGAATTAAAAATATCGTTTTTGTAATAGTGTCACAATTCGCGTTGCAATGCAGCAGACTTTTAGTCGATGGCTAAGTAATCCGTTGAGATGGAAGAATGCAAAAATAGACAGAAAAGAAAGAATGCTAATGCATTGTACCAGCTGACTTGTCGACGTGTTATTTTTTTTTCTCGATAACAGAAATTTATATATTATTTAAGAATACACGCTTTTTTTTAAATGATAAAGTATTGCACCTATATTTTAGTCGATTATATTAATGAATTTCGAATTTCGAGCCAAACCAGGACGGAAGAAAACACGAAAAGATGATGTCAAATGTCTTGTTTGTGAAGGTAAAGCTATCGGATTCAATTTTGGCGTTCCAACATGTTCACCTTGCAAGGTGTTTTTCCGACGAAATGCTGTCAAACTTGGTGTAAGCTTTTATATTTACGCCACGGCATATGCTTTTACGTATTACTTTTTCTATGCTCTTCAGACTTATGAATTCCGGTGTCGAGGTGATGGTCATTGTTCAATAACCCATGATACACGTCGACAATGCAACTGTTGTCGTTTAGCAAAATGCTTTCGAGCTGGTATGAATGCAAAAATCATTCGTACTGATGATCAACAACTAGAAAGAACTCGATCAATTGAAAGTAATCAACATAAACAAGAAGAAGAAAATAATGGAAACAAACAAGAATTGCAAATTATTAGTAAACAGGAATTGGTATATTTATTTTTATTAAATCTATACATTATATCTGGTATGCTTTTCTCTCTCTCTCACTCTGCCTTTCTTAGATTCGGTCTAGCGAATCGTTCATGCATTTTTGTCCATATTCTCCAATTTTATCATCCAATGATAATATCATTCTTACCAATATATTTCATACATATGAACGAACATGTAAATTATTTACCTATGAAGAACATTTAAGCATGCCCGTTAATGAAACATTAACGTTACCAAAATTTATGAATGCTTCTGCAAATATTTATATGGCTTTGATTTATTATCTCAAATCTATACCAGACTTCAATTCTTTACCTGTAAATTCTAAAATGTCGTTGATTAAAAGTAATCTGAATCAAATAGTTCGTTTGCATAGTTCATATATTATGAAAACTGTTACTCCTGATCTCAACAAAGATTCACCTGTGTTTTTGCATATATTCCCTGAAGATTTATACATAGATATCCGTGCAAATGGTATAGCCGTTTTTCCTTTCGTTCATGACCCTATTTTAATTAGATTATTTATTGTTGTTCTCATGTTGTCCACCCATATGAATGTTCGATATGAAAAAAATGTTATTGAGCATTGTAATGAGAGCTCGAATCGAAATATTTTAATTGTTCAAAATGTTTATGTTGAATTATTATGGCGTTATATTTGTTCGCGTTGTTCTAATTATCAAAACGGTGTAAAATTGTTCAGTTCGTTTATTGCTACTACATTATGTTCTCAAATAGTTGAAGTAAAAATTGATAAATTTATACGTACAACTTTACCCAGCCAAAATCATCAATTAGAACCCATCATGAAATCAATGTGGGCGCCAGAAAAATAGAAATATTATGAATACTGTTATTTATTTTATGTACGAATTAGTTTTATTATTCTTATTTAAATTGTCAATATTGAAAATGCCATGCAGAATATATCGTTTATTTTTTCATAGTACCTGATCTTTAATTTTAGATTCAAAAAAATCACAACAGATGTTGTTTAATATTTGATTGACAATATTGAATAGTTCTTTTTTGTTGTGTAATTAGTGGAAGTTACAAGATGATTTATTTAATGAGATATGATGCAGTGTTTCATTTTTAAATGAATAAAGAATATTACCGAGTAATCGCAAATAATAAATACAAAGAATTAGTGATAATGAAGTTTAACTATTTTTTTAAAGTACAACAGACTTAAAACTATGGTACATATTCTAGTTAGTATAAATAATATATCAATATCGATTGTTTTAAATGACTATATGAAAAGTTTTGCAAGAATGTTTTTCTTCATTCTTGTTATTATTAGCATGTAGAATGTTACAGAATAAAATTAAGAGTTGTTACTACCAAGAAATTTATTATCTATATATTGAAGCTGGCAAAAAACTGTCTTTGACTGAGAATAATTCTGCATTTACCTGAGTATTTATTTCGTCAATATTGGGTAAAAAATTATCTATACATGAATTTCGAATGAATCATCCGTAGATAATTGTAAGTTGCAGCTTCAATTTCATTATGTATTCAATCCAAGGGGGAAACAGCGGACTTGAAGTACAAAAGTACTTCAAAGTACACTACTTGAAGTAGCTAAAAGTATCACTCAAGTAGCACAAAGTTAGAACAAGTAACTTCAGATAACTTCAAGTAAATGTGAAGTTGAAAAGTAGGTGAAAGTAAATTACTTGAAATAGCTTAAAGTACTTCGAAGTAAGTCGAAGTAGCTTAAAGTAGCTCAAAGTAACTTCAAGTCCAAAAGTCCGCGTTTCCCCCTTGATTCAATCTCTCAATGCGTTGATGTTTAAAAATATTTGATCGCTTATTTTCGATATTAGACAAAATAAAGTGGATACATGATATGTAGTCTTCAATATGAAAGATATTTTTTGACGGTTGACTGAGTTTATCACGCTAGTTGTTCAGCAGTCGATGCTCTTAAAAATGATTAGTTCCATTATTCCTTGTTTTGAATAACAATCATAACGTGAAGATTGCAAAATATAATAAATATAGTAGTAGAAAAGAGCACATATTCAATGAAGATAACTTAGAAATCCAGTTATCGACAAGTGGCTGCTTAATACAACTGTGCTGGAAATGCCTAACCATATTGATAGTCGAGGTTCTGTTAGATAATCATACACCTATGTCGACTGAACCAATGATTCAACTGGCAAAAAAATATTAATAACCTGCATAGAGAATTTATTAGTAGATATCAAGGCCAGTCACTGTTCAATACTTTTTGTATTCATAAAATTTTAAAATATTAACTTTCGAATCAAAACATAAGCTTTCTCCTGTTTACAATTTATTGTCTTATAATTTGATCTGTGAAAGAATTTTTGAGTCTAAACAAATAACACAATACAATACAATTTACGTGTAGAGACGACGAGACACTCCTATTTTGTTTTGAAATAATCCATAGTATTCTAATCAAAGTATCACATTTCACTATAATTGATCTACGATAAAATAATTTTTGAGCTTCCAAGTACTCACTCTTAACGCTTACTTAAATGCAGTATTCTTCATAAAAGTAGGAGTTAACAATAGTGTTGTTCGATAAGTCATTGTCAGATCGATTGAAAATTCAACTCACTCATGTGAATGTGCTCCATGTTGGATTTGATTGTGGCATTCTTTTAGATAGAGTTTATCATATACTGACTATGCGAATATTTGACTATCTTTTGTCCAATGTTTGAGAATATTTCAGATCTTTATCGATTCCTTATTTCTGTCTCGTTTGACATTTTCTGATGTAATATTGGAGTACATTAAATTTCGATAGTATGTATCGAACGAGAGATCATTCATTATCAGTTTGCTTAACTTTCTCATGTAAACACAAATATAATAGATATTAGTTAGAATAATGCCAAAATCAAGTTCAATATAGAGTTATTAAATGCATTATTATAGACGAGGTGTTTTATCATGTACTCACGCAATCGAACTTTCGATCGTAAGTATTAAAAAAAGTTTAAAACGTTGTGGTCAGAACTTTTGGTAAACTCTAAGTGATACATTCCCTATATAAAATATGAGCATGTCTTATTTTCTTTGAAAATCAGATTTAATCTATAGAAATATGAGATGTTTTAATTGCAAAAACCGAAATGCATAGTGCATGAAATCTGAAAAGCATTTAGAGAAACAGTGAGACTGAAATTCTTCTTGAATCTTTATGAGATATAAACTAAACAAAATTCATACATTCGCATTGATTTAACAATGTTAGTAGAAGAATGAGTACTATTGTCAAAAGCAGGATTAATCATCAGATGTCATAGTATCTAGCTATTTTTTCTGCAACCAAACGCATATGTCCATTTCAAGACAACACGATACATGACCACAAGTCATCGAACACGTTTCTTTTTATCATTATTTAATTTATCGACAAGTTTAAAATTATTCATTCAAGTATTAATCACCTAGCCTACAATATTTTACCATATGAGTGAATAACGATAGATCAAAATACACCATGCAGCCATGCAATCAGCTAGAGTTAATTAAATTTAGATATCTGTTGAGAATCGAATTACTTTTGGATACTTAAAGTTTTCAATATTTACTATATTTCATGACGCTGAACTTGCCAACTTTAAAGTCGGATATGACCAATCGAAATATATCACAAGTACATTTGAGCACTGTTCATAGTGCAGTTCGTGTAGATGATAATTTAATGACAAATCAAACGAATAATTCTGTTTTAGAATTGAAATGCAAATTAATCATTCGATAGGCTATTTTTCTTTTATTTTCTATGACAAAAGAATAGGTCAAACACACTTTGGATAATAGCGTTGGATTTAACTTTGCAAGAGATGATAATGCTAGAGTTTAGATCAAGAAGAATATAACTAGAAACTAAATAGAAAAATTCAAGATTTCGAAATGTTTATAGGTGTTTGTGACGTGCGCCTTTCGGTGCGTTAGAGCCATCAGTGTTGTGCATGTGTTCCTTCTCGACTAAAAATCAAAACAAAATATAATGCTTCTTTAAAAAACAAGGTTTTTTGAAATATTTACTGGGCCAATTTTTCATCAGCACTTCTTTTGGTTGCTTCTCGACTTATTTTCAAACTTTTATAAAATTCTGGATTTGTTATATAATTTATATAAACAAAATAAACACTAATACCAAGAAAAAGTCCAAATCCCATTTTGCCCCATGAGTTTAATGCCGTACCGACCAATGGGCTAGAAAATAATGTTTAATATAAGCATTTGAGTTTTTATTTAGAAATGTAGGTAATAGAATTTTCAACTAAAAATATCTTTGGAAAATATTTTAAAAACATCTTTTCTTCATCTTACGAACATATAAGAGTCGAATTTTATCTTAAATAGGGTATTGCAATTAGAAATGTATCAAGATCTTGATTTTGAAGTCAATAACTGTTGTTTAACATGTGCCAAGACAAATGACTGACATACAAAGATAAGCACTTCTATCATTTTATGTCTATGTCTCATCAAACCTTACTAAGATCAAGAGTTTCGATACATTCCTCACTGCAATACAAATTCATAAGAACTTGTTTACTTATGGAATAGACCCAATGGAAACTAAAGAATACTATGGATATTAATTTGCATATTATATCAACATAGAAGTTGGAGCAGCAAATAATCTATAATGAGTTTATTTCGTTTGAATAGAGTGTGAGGCTTCACTAGCACAACGGTACAAGCACACCTTGTCTTTTTTTTTAGAGAATCTTATTGATGAAACAAAATTATCGATAGTAACTGGTTATAATGAATGGTCTATTACTTCATAGTTTTCCATTAGATGCAATAGCAGCTCTAAAACTTTTATTATGATAATCAATTTGTTTTTTCATAAAAACTTACATGAAAGGTGATGCACCCGCTGGCCTTGGTCTAATTGCATCAGCTGGAACTAATCGTTGCCGTGCTGCCAACTCAGCTACATTACCCGAACGAGAGAGTTGCGAAGGATTTGTCGAAGCACCAGATATTGTTGGAGTACGACGAATGCACGAAAATCGTGTAAGAATAGATCGTGAGTTACGAAATAGACTTGCCATTGAGAATTTTTAAGAAAAAAAGAGAGCAAATGGAATCTACAATAGAGTAACAAATGATCTATTTATGTTTTAACACTCGTACAGTATTGTTAGACAACAGAAATGTTTTTTTAACACAAAATATACCTGACTATAGAGAAGAAAACGAAAAAAGTCTAAAACAATCGATATATATATAATAAACCGGTTGTTAATATCTGAACATTTAACTACGAAGTTTTTTTTTCAAATTTAAAGTCTCTTTTGATTATTACTATTATTTAAATTAAACGTTGAAAACAATAATTGCATTAGTTGACTATGACGATCTTGCGATGCTTCATCACTATCATTGATACGATGTCGAAGACGACGTAATTCGTTACTAATCATTTCAAATAAATTACGAATTAAATTTTCATTTCCTATCTGACTCTGATCAGCTATTGAAGGTGTTGCCAAACATGAATTTATCTCTACACTACGTGATGGACACATTGCTGACAATGATCTTTCATCAAGCATTGTCTTCAAAAACAGAAAACAAAAAATAAGAAATTTCTTTCATATTAAAAACATCTACTTTCTTACTTGTACACCCATATGAACACCTAGATTGGATGATAACAATTTGATTCGTTCTTGTCGAAGAAGAATTGTATAATCAATTTTTATTTGTATCCCATATGAATCTTTTAGTATTTCTAAAATTTTTATCCATATATAATTAGATTCAGCTATTTTCCAAAATGAAGCTAATTCATCATGTGTCATGATATCATTTGTTAAACGCACACGTATGCCAAGCCATGGAAGTGTACGAACAGATTCTGGACATGCATATATATCAGAAAACATGACTGTACTTTCATTACCAAAATCCACAAAAAATACAGTTGCCTGTTGACGCTGTAAACAAATGGATTTAACCCATGCACGATACCATTTCCCATCATCAGCATAACGAGCTACCACAAGACTGATGAAAAACAAAAAACGAAAAAAACTTTTATTAATAAATATAGACCTAATGAACATACGTTTTTATTCGTGGCATTTCGCATGGAGAACAATTTGAAATATTTGTTCCCTGTAATTGACTCATAGCTTGATCAATAACAACCGTATTTTCATTAACAAGTAATACATAAAATGAATTATCTTTACCACTAAATGAACTAAGTAGTGCTTTTAATTCATCACCGACACTTAATGGGAGTTCATGTCGAAATTGTTCAATCGATTCTTCTTCAGGTGTCATTACAGTCTGAAATGAAAAAAACAAAAGCTTTTGGATATTGTGAAATTTTCTTTTTCTTTTCTGTAAATAGTATTTCTTTCTAGGCCAGAAAAGTTTATTTCTATGCAACAACATATTTGTTTCAGTAAGTTTAAGACTCAGAAAGTTTTGAGCCCAGTGACGCCTAATCTGTATGAAAGATAAACATTTTATTCTTTTTTTATGGCTAATTAAAGTTTTTCAAAAAGTTTGGATCTTAAATTTTGAGGCTTAAAATCAATTCTGCTCCTTTGCCTCTTATTGTTTATCTAAAACGATCTGTTCCAATATGTAATCTTATGTTTGCTTGAAGACACACAATGAATGTATCTTTATAACAATCGTTTCACTAGACACTATCTAAGAGAGAAAAAGAAAGAAATACTTACATTCGGTACAAGTAATTGTCTTATTTGATCGTTAATAATTCTTCCATTAAGTGATAGAAGAATTTTGCCTCCTGTTGCACTATCGTAACCATTAACAGTCACATCATATTCATTTTCGCTTAATAAAGCAATACATTGAGCAAGAACTTCAGGTGACATCAAATCGTGTTTATCAGGTACACCATCGAGATAGCACATGATACAACAAGCTGGTTCAGCATAAAATTCATTTGGTAGACGACGAATATATTCTGGCCCAATTTGCATTGCTATAGTCATGCCCCAATCCAAATAAACAACTGTAGCAGTTGAAAAATCTGGTGATATTTGTAATATACGACAACGAAACCAGCGGCCTTCATGATAACACGCACATAAACGATTCACTTGAGCCCTAGTAAAACAATACATATTTAAGATTGTTACAAGAAATTTGGAAAGAGAATGAATACTTGAAAGGCTGAGTTGGTAATTGATCATTCTGAAGTTCAGAATGTACTGCCATTTCACGAAGAAGACGGCAAGCTGTATTAAAATCTGTATGTAACATAAGCTAAACAAATTCAAATTTTATTTTCACGGTTCTGATGAAAAGAACAAATCATATATCGAAATTTACATGAACTGTTGATGGACTTTGCGGATGAGCAATATGTACTCGGTTCAATTGTTGTCCACGTTCTAACGCTTTATGTTGTGGAATATCCATAAGGACCGGTGCAGGTTTCATAGCCGATTGGTTTTGAAGATTATTTTGTGATGAAGAATTAATTGGCTGAAAAGCTGACGATGACGATGATGATATTTGTTGTTGTTGTTGTTGTTCATTTATTTTAGTCACTGTATTATTATGAATATTATTATAGCTCGTAGCTTTTTTTATTGATGAATTCGATGAAAAGAAAGCCGAAATAGATCGTGTTGGATCAGCCGATGCAACAATTGCTGTTGGTCGTGTTGAAATACCAACAGGAGGAATTGTTGTTAATAAAGCAGGTGGAGTTGTTTGTTCAAGTATTTCAGGTAGTTGTTGTTGTTGAGATTCTTAAAAATAAAATTAAAAAAAGACAACTGTTTAGTTGTTCCCTTTATTTTCGAAGAACAAACTCACCAACGTGATTATGACGAATAAAATCATCAGAATTTACATGACCAACATCAGGTTTAGGAAACCATTGACATGATGGTTTATCTTCAACGTTATCTTCACTGTGTTTTTGCTTAGTTTTATTATTACTATGATGATCATCATTACTTGTATTTAATTGTGGTAAATCTGCCTTTTGCTTGCTAATGTTTAAATTTGTTTTTATCTTCTTTTGACTTGTTGCTGCTGGACGAAGATTACGAATAGCTAATTCAAAATCGCTATTAATTCCTATTGGTGAATAAATTGATGTGTGCTTTACATCAAGATTATCATCTTTTTCATCAGAATTTGAATTAGAAACAGATAAGTCATTATTATCGGTATTTTCAATACGATGATTATGTGTATAATGATGACCAATGCGAATCGCGCCACGAAAACCAATAGATGGATGTTGCATATTTACCTGAAATGTACACAAATCTATTTAGTTTGCCTGTTAAATAATGTTGCTACGGATGATTATATTTGGAACAAAAACGAAAAAAAATGAATAATATGAACAAAATAAGTTATGCACTGTAAAAATTACGAAAATATTACGCTAATATCTATGTTTTAAAAGATTGTTTTCGAACGAAAAATTCGAGAGCTATATATCGAAAAAACATAAATTTCTATTTGCTTCATATACGGAATGGCTACAATAATGTGTACTCATAAAATTTGTAGATACCTAGGGTCAATTTGATTTTCAATGATACAAGATGTCTTACAAATAAATATCAAATTCATCAAGGAAACAGTTGAGATACATGTATTAAAAGTAGACTTATGGTTACGTTGATATTTATCGACAAAACTTGGTGTATAATTAATTAATAATTTAAGTTATGATCTATGCTCACAAAAAAAAAATGCAAGTCCCTACGATTATCTTTAATTGTAAGTAGGTTTCACATAATACTCTCAACTTTTCTCATATAGTACGTATCAATGCATTTCACTCATTTCAAATGATTATCTACTACAATGAAAAACATGCTGCTTAATTGTCCTACAGCATTATGATGCAAGTCTGATAGACTAAAATTTGTTTTACATCAACTATTTTGGACTTCAAATTCGTCACTACGGAAAGTTCGAAGGTGGGAAACATTCTAGCGATTGTAAATAAAAACTATTAAAAAAAAACAAGAAAGATTTTGTTTAAAAGAATTTATTTTCCAATCACCATAATTTTAATCTAAATAAGATGCATTTAGAAATTACATAAATCCAAAGCTTTAGATAATTAATATTGCTTCTGTTGTTATTCATGCTTCAAATAATAAATGAACTTTACTATAGTAATGACTAATTTGATGACTTGATACTGCTCAATACACTTTGAACATCTTGAAATACCTAAAATTTCAATAAAAGACATTTTTTTGGTAAACGAGACAAAAAGCATTTTTATAGTTTCAACCGTATCAACATCATTTGAAGCATCAATTCGTTTAACTAAATTTGCTTTTTCATACATTTGGATTACTGGCAGAGTTGATTCATTGTAAGTAATAATACTAAGAATATTTCAATATTGCACATAAAGCAATAGTTATAATAAAATATGTTTTACCGTTTTCTTAAACTTTCTGTATTATCATCAGTCCGCCCACTTGCTTTTCCACGTTCAAGACATCGAATAACACATACCTTTTTTTTCACAAAGAATATAATCAAAAAGAATCATAAAATGAAATGAAGTTCACTTGTTCGTCACAATCGAAGAATAGTACACATCGAATATTAACTTTTCCATCCATTGCTTTTTGCCAACCATTAATATTATCTTGATTTCTTGGAAAACCATCAATTAAAAAATTTTCCTTGTCACTATTTTGCATTGCCTTTATGAACAGAAAATAATGGAAGAATTAATTTATTCAATAAAGACGACAGTATACATTCTCAAGCAACTTGCAAGTTATTGCAACAGGTACAATTGAACCATTTTTTAAATGTTCATTTATTTCTTTACCTAATGTTGAATCAGGTTTAGCTGCTTCGTCACGAAGGAGTTCGCCAGCTGATAAATGAGCATAGTCATCGGTCTAAAAATAATCAACAATCAGATAAGTCTTATAGGTTTCATTAAGGATCCATAAAAAAAAATTGATATACAAACCTCGGCGATTCGAGCACATTGTGTACCTTTACCTATATTGAAAACCATGAAATACATTTGAAGTTATTTATCAGTCATATACACATACCAGCGCCTGGGCCACCTAATACAAATATCACATTCGGCTTTTTTGATGCCATTGTATCTGCAAGAGAAAAAGAATCTTAAATAAAATCGGCTTAGCATTTAATTGGCAAATAAGGTTAAAGAGAGAAATTCTAAACTAGAACAATGTTTCTTAAGAGCGTCTTGAACATCCGTAACTTTTTAAACTGTTGTATTATTATTTTTCTCTTATCAACACTGCATACATAATAAATAAAGTGTTTTCATTAAGGTAAACAGTATCTAATTCACAATCTACCATCATTTTTCTTCGAAACGATTATATATCTCAACTAATAACTATATTTAAACGAATATCTTATCTATGCTTTCTTATTGATCGAAATAAGAATACAATATTAGTTTGTAAGACTCATCGTTGACGAAACAAACAACAAACATTATGTTTATGAAAATTTCTCAAGAGAATTAGTCACTGTGTCATATAATATCATCAGGTTCGATTGAATAAATATGCATAGCCGAATAGTGGCTATGTTTATTTTCTTTTCCATGAAATGTATCTTAATCTTTCACATAAAACTACAAGTTATATGAGTTTTAGTTGATACTATATAAACAACACTGTAGCTTTCAATTGATGCAAGAACAATCTAATATAATTTACATATACACAACCAGTGATAAAGATCTTAAATATAAAAAACAAAAAACAATTGTATATTTACATGAAATGTGTGACCATGAAATGTTTCTTAAAACACAATGTACAAGTAGAAACAATCTTACAATACTCGTTGAAAATGAATAAAAATGTCAAGTGAAGTTTTCGAGACATAAAATTAGAATAACAGAGCAAATGAACTTTTCGCAATCTGTTCAATACTAAAAAATATTCACTGCATACTAGTATTATTATCGAGTGGGCATAGGTTTGAAATGCAAGCACCAATGAAGTCCAACGTACATGTCGGCAGCTGACTCACTAAACGATGGCGCCCTCTGGTGTTCGCCGAATGGGTATTTATTATGGCATGAAAAAATCGTTATTAATTCTACAGTTTCGATGTACTAATATATACACAAATGATAATATCGACAAAACAAATTGAACAAATGATTAGATTTAATTTGACGATTATTCTAGTCCTAATATACCAATCTTTTGATTGAAATTATGTGTATTTAAGTAACTAGTATCAGAATTTAAACATATTACCATCAGAAGAATTCCTATAAATAAAAACTTGCTTTTCAACTTTCTAGATCTCAAATGAACATTGTCTATTCGTTGTCAAAGATATCGTCTCATAAGAGTTTTTTTTAATTATACGTTCCAATAAATATTCCACATAGAGTTCTTTTGTTCCAAATCTTGTTTAATCATAAAGAGCAAAGATCTGTTGGATTACGTTGGCAACTGTTTTTAATCCTTTTATTCTTTTTATATTTGAGCTATTTCCATGTTTCTTCTAGTTTATTATTCTTGAATAAGAAATATTTAATGTCTTTTTTCGTTTATTATAAAAAATTATCATATAGTTTATCTCATCGACCCGATTATTTTCTTGTTTTTGACGATTTGTAAATATATTCTACCGGAGAGATATATCGAAGAAATTATTATGATAAGTTCAAATACGTTATGCTTACCTCATTTATGAGAGAATGTATTAGCTTTGATTTCTTAGAAACGATATACATCTAACAACTGTTATAATATTTTATATTAGTTTTTTCGTATGAGTTCTTTCGTCAGCCAATTGTATATCATGTACTGTTTCTTGATCAAAACTTCGCTAGCCAGCTATAAGATTTAATCTGATCAAAATATAATATTAAAATGTAGAATTATTTATTTATTTATTTTTCGTACTAAAAAATATCCTAGAGTAAACCTTTTTTCATTCTAAATGTCTTCATCTTTCTCAAAAATATCAAACTGAATTTCATAAAAACAAGTATTTAAAAACAGTATTTCCTCATGTCTAATGTGTTTTTTTCATAATTTTTTTATTTCACACAACTTCTACTTATATGATATTAAAAGGCATTTGCAGTATATTACAAAGAAAACAAATTCAGTGCAAAAAGAAAACGAGAAGAACTTCTATTGATGATGTTCAATTGAAGATGTAGTTGTATTTGGAGTAAATTGATGAAACTTTCGTTTTTCATACTCAAATCTAACTGGATTACTAAGAATATCATTACGAGAAAAATCATCAAGACCACCACGATTAAAATATTCATCTTCATCGTCGTCGTCGTCATCATCCTGCGTATTAGCTATTTGTAAACCTTTATACCATGGTGCTCGTGCATATTTTAATGCTTCATTATGTGCTTCTCGTGCACGATAACGAATTGCTGACGATGGATGATTGAGATATGTTGCTGCTTGATCGAGATGATTTGTTGTTAAGATTGTTTGATTATTTGGTTCCATGGCAGATTTCAATTTTGGATAATCTAAAAAAAAACATGGAATATTTTCGAATAGAATTACGACCAACGACTAATGAACAAAATTCTTTTACTTGAAAGAAGAAATTCTGAATCATTATTCAACATGTGAAGTAATAAACGTTGCCGTTGTTCAATTCTACGCCATGCTCGATTTGTAGTTACATAACGATTGAGATGTTCTTGTGCACGTCCATGAAGTGCAAGAAATTCTTCATCAGACATAGCTCTTGGCTTAAAAAGAATATGTATAGTTTAATATTGAAGAAGAAACATTTTATTTTCAATAAATTCTTACTGCTCGTTCACTTCTCCATTTCTCTATTTGTTCAATTAATTCTTCACGTTTAGCTTCCGTAAGTATCGTCGGTTTAATATATTCTAATCGTTTTTGACGTCGATCAAGTTCAGCTTGTTTTCTTTGGCGATAACGACGAAATGAACGTTGAATACGACGTGCAGCACGATTCATAATAAGACGATCATGGCCACCATCAGCTAGAACACGTCGTAGTAAATAACCACGAAAAACTGCTTGGATTTTTGTTGCACTTCGTAAACGTTGAATTTCAAGATATTTTTCTACTTCAGCTAGATAATAAATAATTCAAACATTAAAAAACAAACTTGAATTTCTGTGAAATTAATTTACATGCAGGTAACAATTGAATAGCTTGTATTTGTTGAAGTTTAAATTGACGTAACCGTCGATAATGATCACGTGTTGCTAGATATTGAACTTCGGCTCGTTGACGTTGTTCCTCTTTTATTTCAGTTTCTCTTCTTTTTCTCTTTCTTAAAAAGTAAAAATAAATTTCAATTAATGAAAAAGATGAAACAGAGATAAGAAACCTAAAACTATTATGAAATTGTTTCATAGCTTGATTTGCTTTTTCCATTCGTTTTCTAGAAGTATGACCTCGCCATAATGCTTGAATTTTACTTGCAGCATAATTTTCTCTCTGAAAATTAATTTAAACATTACATTTCACTCTCAAATGAACAATCATACTTGATATTCACGCGAATAATGGCCACCTTTGACACCACGATTTAGAATAGCAAGTAAATCTTGTAGATCCATTCCAAAACCTCGGCCATGCCATCGTTGTAAAATTGTAGGCAAACCTCTAACAGTAGCAATATCTGTGTTTAGCGAGTCAAATTTTGAACAATTAATAATGCGTACTTGAATTTATCGGCTAATAGAAAAACAATATTTGGATCAGTTTCACAAACAGCAATTAAAGCACGTACAGCTGCCCTACAAGAATAATGAATGTCTTGTTATGTATATATGTATACAATAACATTTCTGCTTAAATCAATACAATCTAGATTTTCAAATGGTTCTTCTCTGTGAATTATGTGAAATATAATAGACAAAGATTTCAAAATATAAGCTTCTTTATTATTTTTAATTTGAATAGTTATACGTCCGAAAACATCTTTTATAAAATTAAAATATTTTCTTTCCGTTTGCGTAGCTTTGTATTCATAGTGACGATCGTGATATATTAGCATTCAATCAATGTTGCTACAATATTCATTAAAATGTATATTTATCAAACTTTTATTTTTACTTTTCTAGCAAATTTCAGATATAAAATCAAGTAATTACACATCCGAACATTCCACTAAGGCATTTTCTAATGAATTGTTACTATCACTTTAATGATTAATTATTTCAATTGATTTAATTAAATTTTAAATGATGCTATGATGATAGAATCACTTTTACTATAGAAGTTTCAGTGGAATAATGACAAGCGGTGACAACGAGAGGAAGAGAAGAGTGTACATGTGCTCACCGAACAGGTACTAAAACAGTATTAGTGTAGAGAGGTGCTCGCTATCAATGTCAAATCAGTATTTTGCTTTTGTTTTGAATATAATCAAAAGCCAATTATGCTTTATGTATTTGAAATGAATGAAAAATGATCTGATGTTAGAAAAAAAGTTCTACAAAATCCAAATTCTGAATTAGATAAAGTTGATTTGACACTCGTATTCCTCATAAAACTTACCTTCCAACATCATTATTATCAAATACAGTTAATTTATAAGCAAGTTCATTGACATAATCCTGTTTTAATTTATTTGATAGTTCATAAAATACACTTGCACCTGTTAAACGTCTAGAAAAAGAAAAAGAAAAAGAAAAGAACAGTAGAGGAAATCGTTTTTTATTAAAAATAAACAAACAATAATAATACCCGCTCTTTCGAATAACATCTTCAAACATGTTAGTCATTAGTGAACAAAGATAAACATCATCCGTAAGAAATAACTCCATGAATTTTGGAGAAACCAAAACTAAAATAGTAGATTTAATTTAGTGTTACTAATAAAATAATATATAAAATATTTACTTTGCTTAATTAGTGAATATTCGTTAGCATGAAAAGTCAATAGTTCAAGAAGATTACTTATAACTGTATTCATAAAACTCAAATAGTCTTGTCCAATATGAGACTAACAAATCGTTCAAAATCAATTATCAAATAAATTACAGAAAAATATAAACACCTTCGTCTACCTTTTTCTCTTGCGTATATCGATCTTGCATATGTCGTGTAAGCAAAATAAAACTATCAATACCTTGTGGAAGATATTGATCATAAAATTTAGTTGACCATTGTTTTGTTTTAGCATTATTTCTATCTAATTCAACACACATGCATGAACTAAACAAAATAATAGAAGATACAAGACAAATAAAAACTTTTTAAAAATATTGTTTACCAAGCTAATTTACTGAGACTAATTGAAGCTAAACGCCATCCATTTGGTACCGCTGTAAAATCTTGTCTTAGTGTTAGTAATAGAATGGGTAATATATCAAGTGAAATTATTTCATGTTTAACACTTGTTATTGACTTTGATCTTTGTAAGATATCTAGTTTATTGTACAATTTGAAAAATTCATTTTCAATAAACAATTAAAACCTACTATCAAGTTGCAAAAATTTCTCTGGTAGATCTCCTGATTTTGTTCGACTTAATTCTTTCGCAAATCCAACTAAATTTGAGCTCATTTTGATTATTATCTAAAAACAAAAGACTTGATTTGTTTTCTCTCTTCTGATATGAATAGATTGTCATTTTATTTTTGATAACATGCACATTATAATACAAAAATAATCTAATTATATGTTAGAATTTTCTTTTTCCAACATATTCTACAAATTCTAATTAAAACGATGACATATCTGACTAAATCTCAGAAAGTAAAAAACATCAAAGAAAAATTGTTGAATAAATTTCACTGTATAACCTGAGATAGACAAAAAGAAATGATCTTATTTATAATTTGTTAACAAGTGTATGAATAACAAAAAACAAAAAGAAAAGGAAAAAAACAAAGTTATGAAACAGGCGATGCTCCACATTGGTGATCATTAGCAAAACCAAATGATTCCTTATGATGAACAGGTTGATTCCATGTCGTAGATTCAATATGAGTAGCTCTGGATGGAGAGGGACTTGGCGAAGAACGAGTACTTGCCTAAATAAATTTAACATTTTTTGTAAAATAAATTTTTTTTCAGAGTAAAAAAAACTATAAATTACTTCGATGCAAATGTTACTATCAAATCGAACACTATTAATTTCTCGGCGAAGTTGGTTTCGTTCGCGTAATGTTCGATCAACACGCTCATTTAAATTTTCCATTTGATCTTCGAGTAATTGAATTTTCGATGTCAACAGAAGATTTTCCCGACGCATTTCACGAACTTTTGCATCTTTATCAACCATACTATCGAATATAAAATGCAATATAAATAGCAGTACAAACATGTTTAAATTAGTAAAGAGGTTCTTAAATGGAACATTGATTATATGTAGTATGTGAAGGAAAAATATAAAGAAGAAAAAAGAAGTATTATTAGTGTTTATAATTTAAAAAGCAAAGAAAAAAAGCCAATAGCATAGAAGAAGTATGCTAGAGCAACAATACATAGTTCAATGTGTTGATTGTATGGTGAGTATAGCAGAGATATACAAAGTGCTTAAAATAAAGCGTAGAAGACTTGCCTATAAAAAGTGATATTACTAATAAGATGTGGATGTGTGTGAAGTTCATCAACAGTAGCAACAGTAGAAAAAGGAGTATGAGCAGAAACGTCAACACCAAATTTTGTTGGTTTGTACCTCGTAAGTAGCTGTCTCCGCTCATCAATCAATTGTTGATATGCTGATTCTTGATTAAGTTTTAATTCAGTATCTTTTTCAAGTAATTGCCGTGTCTCATGTAAATCTCTTTGAACATTTTTAAGATGCTCGAAATATTTATTTTTAGTGCGCTCGAATAATTCTCTAGAAAAATGAAAGCAACTAATTTGTGTCAATAACAATAAGACAACAGTAGCCAAAATACGAACCGTTCTTCTTGTAAGCGTTGTTTATGCTTTTCTTTAGTTAATTCATAATTTTTTTGTAATTGCTCAACTTTTTGTTGATATGTTCGACATTTTAATTGCCAATGTTGATTTTCTGATTTTTCTTTTAAATAAAGTTGAACAGCAGCTGTTGGTTCTTTTTCATTTGGCTAATATTAAAACATAGAAAAATAAAATTAATAATAAACAAGAATTATTATGTGTACAGTTTTTAATGCATTGAATGTTTGATTTGTAACATGTATATTGTAATCATTTTTAAATCGACATTCAACAAGTTCGTGCTGTAATGTATTATTTTCTTCAATGCGATTATAAAGTTCTTTACGAATATTAACATATTCATCTTTTAATCGTTTTAATTTCATTTCAAGTCTTTGTCTACAGAGAGAGAAAAAATAAAAAAAATTGCCTGCAGAAAATAAATAGAAAAAACTTGAAAATTAATACCGTTTGAGTTTTTCTTCTTCGATTGTATGTTGTGAACGTGTTATTTGATCAGATTTAGTTACTAATTCAGCTCTCAATAAATTTAACTCACGTCTTGTGGGTTCTGCTGTTTCATTTATTTGGGTACGTATTGTTTCTTCAAAATTTTTATCTGTTTCATGAAAACGTCTTTCAAGTTCTTGACTTTTTTCTAATGATTCTTTTGCTATAGCACGAGATTCCATTACTTCAAGTTCTAAAGCTTGAACTGTTTGTTGTAATTCAACATTCTGCAATCAAAACGACAAAATAATCAATCATTCAAAATTCTTTGTTTTTATTATCATTTAAAAATAAAGTCTTACGCGTTTCTGTTCTTCAGATACGGCCTGTTCCAATTCCGCTATTTTTGCTATTCGTCCTTTATTTTCTTGAGATAATTGATTATTAATATTAATATGTAATGCTGATCTTTCGGTTAAATCGTTTTGTATTTGTTTCAGAAACTAAATGTAGAAAATTTAGAAGATTCGCCTTTAGATTTTGTTATCCCTATTTACATGTTGTTTGTCTTTAACTTCAGTTTGAAGTTTATCACAATTTGATCGATATGTTTCTATTTGATTTAAATATTGCTTATTATCATGCTGTAATTGAATTATTGTTTGATGAGCGTGTAGTAGATCTCCGTCATAATTTGACTAACAGAATTCGAAAATAAAAAACATATTAATTCTCTTATATAAATGAAATTTATTCTAATACTCACTATAATTTGCTTTTCATCATTTTGTAACATCTCTATTTGTTTATCACGCTCAGCTATATCTCGTTCATATTTATGCTGTAAATCAGTAAGATTTGTATTTAATTGACGTAATTGATTATATATCGTTTGTGTATCATTATTTGATGATGTTACAGCTAATTTAAGATCGCGATTTATTTCATCTTTTGATTTTATCTTTTAGAAATAAGTAGAAAGAAATCACTCAGAATAATAATAAAAATAATTTTAATTATAATACCTCTTCTTTAAGAGCTTTATTTTCTTGTTGAATTTGTTCATATTCATTTTGAAGTAAATTAACTTTGACATGAAGTTCATCACGTTGTTTGATGACATCCTCCATTTGTTGAACATAATCTAATTCTTTTTGTCGGTAATCATTTTGAAGTTTGAGAATTGTTTCATAAAGAGACTATAAATAGAAATTATAGTTAAAAATAAATTTTTTAGTATATGATATTGAGTATGATTTGATGAGAGTGATAGATACTAAGAAAGAGTCATCATCATGGACTATTCTTCTGGCATGATTTTCTTTGATAAAGAAATTTCTTAAATCTTTGTTTTTGTCAAAATACTTCCATTATATCCTAAGATTGAAACTGTTACCGACAGTCAATCATCTGGCCATTCTATCTATTTTCATTTCAAGATTTAGTATATGAAAAACTAATAAAATGTTTCTGCTGAATTTTTTAATGATTATAAGATACGTCTAGAGTGAATTTTAAGATCAGACTCATATCAGTGAAATTTTTTAAGTAGATTTTTCCATAAATAAAAAAGATTGAGTAAGAAAGTAATAGTTTCAAAAGGAGGCACTTGATCATGATAAAATCATTTTTGACTTTAAACAGTTATGTTAATCTCCATTATGCAATGAAATATTAACACTATTGGTAATACATCCTCTAGTTAGGACTGAACCATTTTATTTAACGCAGTTAATTAACGGCGTTAATTAACTAAAACCGTCAATATTAACGGTTAACTAAAACGTTAACGTTAACGTTAATTTTAAATTAACGTAAACGTACCACCCCTCCTTCTAGTCAGAATAGCGAATGTCAACAAAAAAGAAGAAAAAAGAAAAGAAATCTCTTATTTGAGTAGTTTCAAAATATTGAATTAATTATTTGCTAAACCTTTCGATAGAATTTCTTCATACGACTTAAGTTCGTAAGAACACTCATTTCAAGATTTTTTATGGGATTTTTAGCCTTAGAAAAAGTCCTTTCAGCTACTTCAATTGTTCTCAATGATAACAATTCAAAAAAAAAGTCAAGTGTTGTAATAGTTTGACCTTCAGTCGGGTCTATTCTTGAATTTGAGAGAAGTAAATATTCAAAAAAGAAATTGCTATTAAAAAACAATCCTTCTAATTTTTAAAGATTCATTATGTTTTAGCATACACTATATTTTTGTTCTCTTTTCTCTGTTTGTTCTTCTAATCCTGCAATCGTTTTTTGATAATCTTGTCTTTCTTTTTCCATTTGACTTTCCATTTCAACCTTGATTCTTTCTAAACGAACCAATTCCTAAAAAGAAGTTCACTTATTTTTTTTCTTGTCAAAATGTTGAACTATATTTGTATTTACTTGAGGTAATTGTTGTTTATCTTCTGCGGCAGCTAATAGCTGTTTATAATGTTCATCCTTGTGAATTGATCCTTTCTTTACTTCTTGGCATTTTTTAGCTAGCAAATCAAGTTGCTCGCGTAGACGAACTATTTCAAGTTCTAATTGATTATTTGTTTGATGTAGCCAATCAATTTTTAATTTTGATTGTGTTGCACTTAAATTATTTGCATTGGAATCATTTGTGACAAGAAATTCTTTTTCACGTTCTTTTAGTGTACGAATTTCTTGTTCAAGTACTAATTCACGTATACGAGTACGTTCTATTTCTTCGTTCCATTGACTTTTTTCTGCATAAAGATATTCATTTTCTTCATAAATTGTATCAAATTCTTGAGTACGATTTTTTAACATTTGATTTTCACGTGTTAGTTCATCTAATTTATCATGTAATTGATCCAATTCATTTTGTAATTCTTCAATAGTTGGTTGATTTTTTACATTGGCTAAGGCAAAATGTGTTGACGGAGATTGTTGAGATGGCGAAACAGACGATGAAGCTATGTAGAGGTCTTCGATTGAACTCATTATTGAACTTGTACCTTTTTCGATCTCAATTTGTAATGTTTGTAATTCATACTCACGTTGTTGTAATTTTTGTTCTAACAAATGAACATGATCTTTCAGTTGAGCAATATCACTTGATGCTGATGAAATGGGCACTGGATAATGTGATACTACTTCAAATTGCCGTAGATTTTGGATTGTTAATGGTGAAATGTTTTCGTTAACACGTCTAGAAACGATAGTTGAAGCTGGTGGGCTGATTGCTGAGTGTTGTGATATTGGAGAAAGTTGAAATTGTTGTTGTTGTTGTTGAGATGGTGAATGAGGATAAACACGTAGCTAGAAAAAAAAATGAATGTTTATTTTTTTGCTTCTTTTATGAGTATACGTCGTGCTAAGAATCTAGTTTTATTATTTGATGATAGAATAACAATAAAAAATTTAAAAAAAAAAGAAGAAACAATACAAACAAAATGAATTCATTGGTTTCTTTCTATTCTTTTTTTTTTCAATTTCTTTCCACACCCATTTATATTCTCATTTTCTTTTTATACGCGTGTCTGCAAGAAATGAACTAAAAAAAAGAAGCAGACAGCAGAATAATTGGTAACGGAATCAAAAAAAGTCCTAGCAAGACTAAAGTATTACTTTTTCTCTTTTTTTCTTTTTCTTTATGCTTTATACTACAAATAATCAAGAAAAAAAAAAGAATTCTTCTAGGTAAGAGGTAGAATGCCTGAACACTTGAGTAAATATATGCAACTTTTGTTTGACTTAGATATGTTGATTAAACTTTATTCAAGTATATATTACATGAGAAATCGATTTAACAAATTTCGTTTGTGTTTAAGCACTAAGGAGAAAGGATCTTTACTTAGAATTTTAAGAAACCTTAGTTAAGAAAATTCACATCACCAAGGTCATTGTCTCGGTAAATCATATTACCAATAATCACTAAATTATAAAATAAGATACAAAGTTCCTTTTCTTTTTCTTTTGTTACTTCTTGTTCTCTTATTCTTTCATATTTGAGAAGCCTGATCGTTTCAAGGCTCTTAAAATTGCTCACTACAAATTAGATTACATATAGATCTATATATTTGTTGTTTGAAAGCAAATATAAAATAAAATGATTTCATATAAATTGCTCAACAAACGAAATGAAAAATATGAGAATAAAACAACGAATTTTTTTCATTTTTGTTCATAACAAACCTGTTTAGGTGATGATGTTTGCAATTGACGTTGACGTATTTGAACTTCATTAATGAGTTTTTTATTTAATAATTTTAATTTTTCACATTCATCGGTTGACTTTGAAAGTTTTAATTTTAATTGTTTAATTTCATCAATATTAATCATCTGTTTTAAACGATGATTATCATTTGTTGCATGAATTAATTCTTGTTTTAAATGTTTATTAGCTGTTTCTAATAATTGAACTTGTTCATAAACTGGATCACTTGTTTTAAAATCATGTATTTCAGCATACAAACGTTCATTTTCTTTTAAAACAGCATCGATAGTTAATTTTAATTGTTGATAATCTTTTGTTTTAGTTGATGAGTTCGTATTTTCATGGTCCTCAACAAGATTTTTATATAGAAGAAGTTGTTTTGTTGACGATCGATGCTGTGCAGTTAGACGTTCATTTTCTGTTTCAGTTTCATCAAGACGATTTTTGAGTGAATTATATTGTTTTTCAAATTGCGTTCGAACAAACTCGATCTTTAATTTATAGAAAGAAACGAAGAAGTCAAGAAATTCTACTATGAAAATAAATACTATTATTAATACCTGATTATGGAGATGTGAACGGTCATTAAGAAAAAATTTGAATTGACTAACTAAATCTACTGGAATAAGTTCCGATAGATTTGCTTCGTGAAGTAAATGAGCAATGTGAATAGCAGATGAGTGATGTGGTTGATCATGACTTTCATTACTAATTGGTACTAGAGAATTAAAACAAATTTATTCTTTTAATTATGCGGATCAATAAATCGATTGGACTTCTTATTTGGAACGTACTTTTATTAAAAAATATCTGTGTTAATTAGTATATTTTCAAAATCGAATAATTGATTAGAAAATATTTTATTTAATCTTAATTATGAAAAATCGTTCTTGTGAAACAATAATTTTCATCTATTTGTTCAACCATTGAAAGAGTGAATGTTTTCAAAAAATGAAATCAAACATTTAGAAAAAATCAGTCTTTTTTATTATGAGAATAACAAAAAACATGAGATATACAACTATATCAAATATGAATACCTAAAATTTGATACTTTAAAACTCTTTATAAAATCTGTTGACCCACCCTAAAAAGCCTACTCGAACATAAAATACGTTTCATCTCAGTTTCCTTGAACATCTAGATATGATGAAAGATAATCACTATTGTGAAATGTATTAGCGATTTGAAGCTGTGTTTTGTTTTACTGTTATTGATGCATTTTATGATTGAACATTCTCGTAAAATGTTTTACTATAGTCATAATACAGATGGTAAATAGTAATAGTCGATAACTTTTCTTAATCCTGATAACTTTAAATTCAAACTACAAACAAGTATATAAATCTTTGCGATTATCTTTTGTGATTATGTACTTATATGTAAAGTTTCTAAGAAATATGGTATTTTTTTTTGTCTATCAGAAAGGAAGAGTAACCTCAGTGACTACCGATATAAATATAAAAGATTAGTTTTCGCTGATTATCAAAAAGAAGTATCTTTAATCGGATAAATGTCTTTATAATCTTCAAATCTATCGAGATTAAATTTTTGTTCAAAGCTTGCAAAAAAATTGACTTATATAATTCTAGCTCATATGAATTATGTTCAATACTGTTTAGAAGTAGAACAAGTATCTTTTTTAAGTGTTTATCTCTTGTAGAAAATGTCATTTTAAAGTTTTTACCGGCAAGGCTGGATAAAGAAGCAGGAGCAACAAGATTAATTGTTTTTGGTAAATCTTTTTGTCGATCATGATCTTGTTTTACTTTGGATATTTGACTATCATTATTATTATCTTCTTCATCAGCCTCTCTTTCTCCAGTAGTAGCTTCCATACTTGTTGTACGTTTTTTTCGTCGAGTTCTTGTATACATATTGCAGTGATTCCTGATAATGATCGATATAGATTACAATAGTTAGGTCGATTTTCATGTGCTCAAATTGTAATAATGAATGATCCGTGTTTCTTCTCCTATTTGTTTATTGACGAACCACCTATTGGCAAGGTTTAACATCTTGACTTTTGTAAGGCATTTCTTTTTAGTATTCACACACATATACGCACACAACAGAGAAAACAAAACGAACTATACAAAGTAGTACTTTTCGTTCATTCATAAAAAAAGACTTTTAAGAAAAAAAAATTGAGAAGACAAATAGTATAATATATATATATATTATATATGTGTGTGTAAAGGTATACGACAGATGTTGCACTTATATTCACAGTGAACTCGATCGACGTAATATCAACACGCACAAGAAGAAGAAGAAAAGAGAGAGAGAAAGAGAGAGCGAGAAGAATTTGTATAAGTGATCATTCAAAAAGAATAAAAAAAAACATGCAGAAGGTGTGAGAGTTTGGACGAAGTTGCTGCTATCCTGTTTATATAAGAGAAGCTGCTATTTCATTCTATCGTTTTCTTCTTCTTTGGTTTGCTCATTGAAAACATAGCCTTGGTCATTTCAATTTATGAGAACACGTTGGTTACTAGTGACTTCTTTTTATCGGAAAATGATTCTCTTATTTTTATCTCTTTTTTGCTATTTACTCATTTTCACAAATGGATAACGAATAATTCTTTGAAAATTTTCGATGTTTTCTTTTTACGCCAGTACTCCAAGAACGGATCAACGAGATTACTCATATTTCTAATCTTGGATAGAAAAATAAACAAGTAAAAAGTATACCTCTAGACACATTGAAAATGAAATATTAAGTAAAAATAAGAACAGTAACAATAACAAATGTCAATTATTTTCATGATTAAAACCGATTTTCCCTTGAAAGATTGTTTTAAACAAAAAAAAGCCAAGAAAATCATATTGCTTGTACGATTAGTAGATGTATTTATGTAGAATATCAGATTCTTTTTATGCCGTTGCCGACATTAGACATGAACATTGTCTGGACAACGACAGGATAATATCAGTTTATATTTTGCAAAGAAAAGCTGATTTCTGCTGACATCTGTCAATTTATAAATGTATGATAATCAACTACTATGTATACAAATTCATCGGATGAAAACTTTAGCACCAGAGATGAATATCTAACATGGGAAATATCTTGGAGAACTAAATTCAGATAAACTTATTAAAGAAAATATTTAGTTTCTAGTTGACTGAAGTATATATATATCATGTTGGATTTTATTCAAGTGTTTGATTTTTTTCAATTTACTCCATGCCTCGTTTATGTGTTTTTTCACAGAAATTTTTGTCTCACTATTTTTTGTTTGACGATTGTTCGACATTGGTGAATACTATTGAGTAACAACACTGGATGTTGGCATAGTAGTAACCGCTTAAGAAATACAAACAAATTGATTTCTTGAATAATATTCTGAGGGTTATAACTATTGGCAAATGAAAACAAAAAGATGAAAGTTTGAATTTATTGAAAGAAAAAAATTTAAACAGATTAGACTGTTGTGTTGGCTCATAATGCAACTAGATGTGGTCAAGTAGAATCGATGTAAAATATTTATAAGATTGATAAATGAATATGGAGAATAAAAACATTCATGATCAAAGCTTAGCTATTTTAGAATACTTTAGAACAAAACTTAATCTACAAGGATCATCCTAGGTGCCGTGGAATAGAACATGGAATTTAATTACTGCTAGTAATGTGTAATATTCTGATCAATCATTTAGAAAGCAAACGTGATGCAAATCTAAGAAGAAGAATATTTGTAAATTAAATAAATCTTTTATACAAAAATGATGACTTAGAACTGTTTCTTAATAATGTAAGGCTTTAGAGAATGAAGGCTGAAAACACAAACTATTGATTTTTGTTGTTGCTTAAAATAATCTCTATGTAATAACAAAATTTGTACTGATCTGATGTTTGTGTGTAGATATACTTGAAATGTGTATTATAGACTACATAAATATACTAGTTACGTCTTGAGTACTTGTTCACATTTACAATGGATAAATATGTCTATATGTTGGTTTTTTTTCATACTTATAAATACTAACTAGAGTATTTACAAGTAGACGGTGTACAAGTGATTGATACTTCAAACAGAAGCTCCCGAATTTCATGTGATTGAAATAAATCATATGCAGTAATCAAATATTATAAAACAATAAACACAAATATAATTAGTTCTTCTACTCGAAATTGAATAGATCGATCGATTTTGTATATCAGCTATGAAAATACAATTTTTAATTCTAAAAAATTAAAATCATTGATTTATAAAAGCAATGATGATATTATCTTCATTGTAGGAAAACGAATATAAATTACTAATTTAGCAGCTCTTAGTAGCTGTTATTACGGGTACTGAATTGATCACAAAAGGTGATTGTTTAGTTGTTTGTAATAATTATACTGAATGACAATTTAATGCTTCATCAAAGAGTGCTCCATGAATTCGATTGTCATTTGATGAAGAAACGTGAACCGATCATAATGTCATTCATATATCAGAATTTTACGAGAATATTATATATATTTTATCTTACGCCAAGTACGATTTGCATTGAACCAAGATAATCATGATAATAAAGGCCAACCATAATAAATAATATATAGACAAACAAAATAACATCTATACTCTTGTTTTCCCGTTTGTTGTATTTTATTGTTCGCCATGTAATCATTTGCTAAAATGAAATAGACATATTAATTTGTATTTCTATTATTTTCGTCTGTAGACGCTGAAAACTGGCTTGTAGTGTGTGTTCAAAATGTGGGTAACAATGTTACATTACATTTAATCTTCTAATTCAGTTACCTTCATGCTTGACAATAGCAAGAAACACTTCTGGTATTAGTTATTGTCGTACGAAAATGATCTGTTTTCTGTTGTCGTCTGCTATATGTGACGTGTTTTTCTTCTTTATTGTTTTTCTGATCATAATAAAAGGATTGAGCAAACTTGAAACTCATAGTACTGCAAAATTGCGCTGTGAATGTTGGATTAAACACTGACGCATTGTTTTCAAGCTTTGCCTTAATACAACGCAAACTAATATCAAACAACAAGAGTAGTATTTGTAGTCGGTGTTGTAATTTACTACGATATTTTCTCTCTATCAGAAGTGTATCTAGTCTAGAATAGAATACTGCTTTATGAAATCGAGTTCAACTGACAGGTAAATGGAGTTGGTTTCTCTGCTTTTCCTTTTTCTTACATGGAAATAGTTCATGAAAAACTTACGGCGTCAGATTTCTTTCAGTTTAGGATAAAGATATTTTGCTTTTCTAATATACGATAAATTATTCTATATACTTATGAAGATGAAATATGTGAAATAGAAACTGAAAGCTTATGTTGACTTCCACACTGTTTTAAGATACCGCTGAGCATCTGGTCGGAATGAAGAAAGGCTTCGTTTTTGAGAACATTTCAGCTAGATTTTCATTTTAGATTTAGACAATATCTATCACTCTTTTAATAATTATAAAGAACCTTGAGCAATGCAATGGTATCAGTGTAACCGATAATTATCATTCTACTAATCGACGAAAATCTAGTAAATATTTGATCAACAGTAAGAATGAATCAATAAAATATGTTGGCGAGATCAAAAAAATTTGATTGCTAATTGCAATTTGTTTCTTATACTAGAGTCTCATTGTTATAAATAATAGAAGTTTGACGAAATTCTCGAAGGAAAACAAGTGACAGATTGCGACTTTGCCAACGATTAAAAATACTTCGTTTTTATCCTTAGTACTTTGATGAATATTTTAAATATCAATAGACTATTTTTTAAATTGAACTACTGACACAATCTCGAGTGTAGTCGAATTTCGACATATAGCTAATAGATTATACTACTGAAAACGAAAGTCGCTAATAAATCAAACCTGGTATGATTCTAATGTAGTATATTAGAAGTCAAATTTGTATATACTAGAATAAACTTTATGTTATATCATCTTTAATCATAAGTTCAATGTTATTAAAAACAGAATATAGAGTCTATAGCAGGGCTCCGCGTGGGATGGGATGAAGCTGAATTTTTTTTTGACATCCCATCCCATGGTACTAAAAATTTTCGTCTCGTCCCAGGAGACAAAATGGCTTGATAAATGCACTAAACGTTTGCGATATACAATTACTGTGACATAGATGTTGCACTCATCTGTACAATCAAAACAAGTCAACAATATCCTACTTATTCTGTTTATGGAAAATGTGAAGTTTGTGCAATGATGTACAATAACATTTTTTCCATATTTTTAATAATATTTATTTTGTTTGAATCGTTTTTTTTTATTTAAAACACTACTTTCATTTTTTTGCGTCGCTTCATTTTTCTCTATATCGTCATATTTTGTATTTATTCATAGAGCGATGTATTTTTGATGGTCAAAGTAAAAACAAGAATTGTGAACTTGATAATAATAAAATGATGAACATGTGAAAAGATAATATGACATCATAGTTTTAGTCAAGGGGGGAAAGCGGATCCTGTGGGTCCTGTTGCTCCTAATAAAGGGCATTAGATTGCACAATAGATTGACTGGAGTGTACGGAAATCTATTAGAAGCAACTTCAATCTACTAAATACGTCAGAGTCTACCACAATGCACCAAAAACTGATTCGCTTTACAGCAATCTTCAAACAAAGTATACAACATGGATCCTGGTGGATTAGGGGTGTGCAGCTCACGGTAATGAGTGCTGATAGGCGTGAACGTTTCTTCTCCAAATAGAATATGCAAGAAATCAGTAATAATGAACCCACTTTAGCTGTATTCATCTAAAAATACATTATAGTATTTCATTCAGTTTCTTATCTAATATATTCAATCAATGTATCTAAATACTTGTTACTCGACGAATTGACAATAAGCGCTAGAATAGGCTCATTAAAAATTGGAAAATCGTAGTTTCCGAATATTTGTTTCTTAAACTCGCTCATCTTACTACCACAAACTACCAAGGAACAAAGCTAGGATATTATTATATATGTTTAGTAGGGGTAGCACGTTACTATTACCGGTAATAAGTAATAACTGCTATTTTGAACTAATAGTACTAACTAAAAGCCAGGAAAATTAATAAAGTAATAAGGAAGAAATAAAGCAATAAAGAACTTGATCGTGGAATTACTTCTATTTATCGATATATTTCTACTTTCTCACCACTAGGACTACAACAGCTCTCAGATCGTAGTTCAGATCAAATGAAAGAAAGAACTGCTGAAACAGTTCCATTTACTGATTTGTCCACAATCGCTAGATTATTTGCATTCAATCACTAGTATTATTTGGGCCATAATTAAGGGTAATCCCTTCAATCCCTTATATCCCATCTAGATGTGATCCCTGTGGCTTTTGCATCCTACCTGGAGAGAGAATACATCCTATTCCGCAATGTTGAACATTCCGGAACCAATTCTATCTAATTACGGCGATTCCGTTTATCACTTCCAACACAATTCCGGAATTCCGAGAATCACTGCCTACCAATTCCATCTAATTCCCAGAAATCAGTGCACCTGCACTGATATCCACATCCACACCCACACCCTGCAATTCCTGTACGCAATTCCGGGAATTAGATTGAACAGGAATTAAACTGAATTTCGTGGAATTCCAGGAATCGGGCTAACTGATTTCGGAATCGGAACCGGTTCTGGAATGTTCAACACTGCGAAATAGAATGACTGCTCCCTGGAGATGGTCCCCGTAAATTTTGTGCATTTACACTGGGATGGTTACTTTAGCCATTTGGGATTTACTTAAGGATTGTCCTTATGAAATTTTCGGGACCGCTAAGGATAGTACTTCAAGTTTGAAGATATCACTGCTGGATAGAGTGACATGTTAAAAGGACGATGCTTATATAGGATTGAAAAAGTTATAGAAACTGCCAATAGTTACGAATAGGGTTGTGCCGAGACCGAGACTTTCCACCTCCGTCTCAGTCGTTGCGGTCGAGGTTTCCGTCTCGCTTTCGTTCGCGGTTAGCTTCGGTTCCAGTATTGATGAGTGTTTGTCTCGGATCATCCATAGTTACGACTGAATAAGTTATAAGAATCCTCTCCCACACTGCGCAGAAGAATACAAGGGATGCCGCTATATATGTGCTAAAATGTTGCACAGATCAGCCCTGGGAAGTTTTCACATAGTTCTAATTACCATCCTGGGGTAGGTCTAGAAAGGTACAAGACCACTCCTTGGTAGTTTCTTAAAAGTTCTAGATATCATCTGTAAGTAGATCTCAAATAGCTAAAGGGATCACCCCTGGGTAGATCCTAAAACTTCTGACTACTCTCTCTCTGACTAAGTCCTTAGAGTTCCTAAGTACCACCCTTGACCAGGCTCAAAACATTTCTAAGTATTATCCTTATATGATTCTTAAAACGTTCTGAGTATCACCTTTAGGTAGACTCCTAATAGCTATAGGGGCCAGTTCTGATCTGATCCTGGAAGCTTCTAATACGATCTCCCGGTAGGTCGTAAGTAGCTATAAGAAATCCTCTTGAATAGATACTGAAAAATTCTAAGTAATATCTTTGGGTCGGTATTTATTACGGTGATAACTACTACACGTTATGACTTATCAGTTGTTGCTTTTATTAGTTTCATTTTTTTAAACTTTATTATTCGTAATAAATAATAAAAGTAATAATAATTAGGAATATACCGCTCACACTCATGAGTGTAAGCTGTACACTCCTATGTTGCATCCTACTTGATTTTTAAGTATCGAAAAATTTTCATAGGAACCTAGCAGAATTCATTGGACTTGACTAATATGTCAATCTTATCAGTTCATTCATGCTTCTTACTCGAAAGTCCTACGACCAATTCCTCTTTTTTCCGATCAGACTTTTTGGATCCTGATGGATCCTAGGATTCAAAAGGATTCACTTTTTCCCCCTTGGTTTTAGTAGCTAGATGAGCATTCGAATAAACTTAACATCTTATAGGATATATGATAATTGAGATGTCCCATGCAGGGTGGCCGGATCTTCTGACAAGTAAGGAAAAATTATGAAATTCGAAGTCCCTTCTGAATTTCTTCTGATTGTCTTACTATATTCTGATTTTTCCTGATTTTAATACTTTTGATTTCTTTCCGAATTCGAAAAGATTTCACATCCCAGTTTTGCTAGTGTACTTCAGTATAATTATAACACATTACTATTATAGACATTTATTGTGTCAATTTTTTTTCTCAATTATCCGATGATAACTTCTGACTTATATAGGGAACTTCAGCTACAGCGATGCACTAGAATTTGATAAATTTCTTTTCTTGATTTCGAGATTCTCGCTTATGAAACATTCTACAAATAAAAACTACATTATCCAATAGATGATATTAATATAGTTGAATTCGATTTTGAAGAGACATAAAGCGAACTGCATTAATTACCAAAAGCAACATCATCTCGAAAAATAAAGGAAAAAGAGAATTTTTCGTAAAGATTGGTTATTCATTGATAAATATTCATCTTTATAGAGATGAAACTTTGAAAATGAAGTACTTAACGTCATGATCTTAATACAGAAGTCGCTATATCACAAAAAATGATCTTTCTGATAGACTTCTGACATTCCCAAAAAAAACATTTCTGGTCGTTTTCTGATTTTTATAAGAAAAATTCTGATTTTTGAATTTTCGATCTGGCCATCCTGGTCCCATGGGATGGGACAATCTTCATAACTATCTCATCCTATGGGACGATGTTTTTTCGGCCCATTCCGTCCCACGCGGAGCGCTGGTCTATAGAATAATATTTTTTAGTTTGTTCATTAAAACACGAGTTATAACGATAAAACTCGTTTGGTATTTTGTCAAAATTTATCATTCGATACTTTTCGTCGTGTCATCGACTAGAACCATTAATTGTGTCTATGTTTTGTCATGCAATTGATCAAGATAAATATGCTTCTGAATGTATTGATCGATGTAAAAGTAATAAAAGGAAAGATGTACATTTCAAGTATTTTAAATCAATTAAAATCAAATCAGTCACTCAATACTTTGAAATAAAATCTTTTTATTCGTCTTGGTTGTCCACTTTCAGGGCTTTTCGATGATTTATGATGTGGAGCGATGTTCTCCTTCGTAAGTGACTTAAAATCCTTGAATTTTATACTGGAGAACCTTTTACCTTATAAACTTCAACAAACGCGTATGACTCCTTTGCAGATTTACTAATGCGCTTCAATTCATTGTTTGAGATAGTTTGCTTACTGCACCGTCATTTGAGAGGCGACATGCCGTGTTGTCATATTTGAAATTAATTTCCTGTGTTTGTACCGAATTATTAGATGAATCATGATAGAAGTGGCAGATACGTGCGTGGTAAGTAAAAAAGCTTTCTTTTGTCACGTGTTATTATTATTATTATTATTTTTTGAACAAGCCATTACAATTAGTCATAGCGTTCGAAAGAGAAAAGAACGAGTCAGCAGCTGATCAAAAAATATATTTCATCAAGCACATGTTCGTCTGCTGAAAAAAGGCTTGCCATTCTTTTAGAAGACTTTCGTGTTGCATATTATGAACGAAATGAATTAAAAAATTATTTTGAATGAATATTCTGATTATCTAAATTCTTCTTCTCCTATAACAATACGGCAGAAAAGAAAAAAGAAAACAATATCCTAAGTTTTTCCAGAACTATCCTAGAAACAGAACGAAGTTCTCTATATATAACTAAGATAAGTTTGATCAATCGAAAAAAAATACGAGCTTTTTGTTTTCGGTTTCATTATATATATATACAAACACGCACAATAGCGTTTGTTGTCTCTTTGCTTTCTTTCACACAAAAAAATGATAGTGCGTCGTATGAAAGACATACAAGAAGAGCAAAGCATAGAGAAAAGATACACATACTCATACATACATACATGCATGTTAGAAGTTCAATCGTCTCGTCATACAAAAGAAATCATACAAACAACAAAAAAAAGTTGACTCTCCATGTCAAAATAGATATAATAAATATTTACAGAAGAAAAGAAACAAAACAAAACAAAACAAAAAGAATATTTATATTTAGTTGGTTTTTGTTAAATAAAAGAGAAAAGAAAAAAAACTGTTCGTGAAAATAAAAACATACGAGAAAATCAAAAGACAAAAAGAAGAAGAAAACGAAGAAGCACGGAATGATGTTAACACTTTAGGTTTCATTTTTATCAGACCTACAAAACACAATGAAAAATCGGAGATGTTTCTCTATCCATAAGAATCTTTCAGCAGCGATAATCACCGGTGCATTGATAATAAGCTTATTGCATAAGCATAACATCCCGATGAGATTTTCTTATTATAAATACAATACACAATATGAAAGCAATTTACTATCGGTCTTTAATTTTTCTAGTTGTTGTTGTCGTTGCTGCTCCTGCTGTTGGTGTTAAAGTTGTTATTAATATGGGTGTTGTTATTATTTTTGAAGTCGAACATATTTCTCGTAAAGTATTTCCATGATCAAGTAGATTAATAAGTATGGTAGATATTTGTGCTAATTGATCATAAAAATATCGATGTCGTTGAACATTACACTAAAGAATTTAACAAAATCAGATTTAGAAAAAAACAAGAAATAGATTTTATTTTATTTTACTTCTAGTAAATCTTTAATTGTATTTCGTATTGAATGATCATTTATATTAAGTTCATCTAATAATTGAGCTATATCTGATAAATTATTCTGTGACGTTTGTTCATCCTCTGTCTAAAATACGAATATGTTAAATTAAATAAAAAGAAAAAAAGGTTTTGATTATTAAATATTTCAGAATGACTAACAGAACTATAATGTAATTTATATTATTAGATTTCATTTGAGCTCTATAGATAAGTAGTAAAAATTCTTGCTTTCTTCAAGAATAAAATGATGAACGGCTTTTCTAGTAATAGTAACCGATAACGTGTCAAAATTCAAGTTATTCAAAAAACGATAAACACAGTTTATAAGAAATTTTCAGATCATGGTAGTTTTATCAAAAATAATTTAAAATTCTATTGCGATCATGGGAAACAATAGTAAATAATATTATTCTAGAAAGATAATTCAAAACATCTTATTGAAAATGCTTCTTTTTGTTTTGAATTAATAAGAATCAATTCATTAATATATTTCTCCAGTAGAAAATCGAAAAATAAACTTCATTTCTCACTTCTGAATCATCAGTCTTATTTCGATTCCACAGAATTTCTCTAACCAATATTTTTCAATGCCGTAAAAGTCAATCGATACTTTTAAATAAGATAATATTCAAAAAGCAATAAATTTTTATTTTATTTTACCAGATCAGTAATATATGTTGTTAATCGATCAATACGCCATGATCCCCATGGTTGTGTTAATTTTTTTCGTATTGTATCAAGACTTTTGATAGGTACAGCTCGTTTAGGATCTAATAAAATAATTATTCTTCATTTTGGCATTAAAAGCATCTTTTTCTCTTACTCATTCGAATAATATCAGAATATCTTTCATAATGATTTATTTTCGGCTTCCATGAAAAACGTGATAACAGCGTATTCATTGGTTTTGAACGACTCTTTGTACCAATCCAACGAATACCTGTTTGTTTATCAACATAGACAAAATCTAAAAGAAAAATAAATGATAAAAGAAAAAATTTGTTATCTTATTATTTTTACCTTGCGAGAGTCTTTTAAGTAATTCATCATTAATAGTATCAATCGATGATTCATCTATTGATAGTAATTCTTGTTTGATATTATTATTATTATTATTATTATTATTATTATTATTATTATTATGATTATGATTATTAGATAAAGCTTCATCGGAGTTTTTTCTTTGCATTCTTTTTTTTCGTATTGGACTACTTAAAAGTATTGCTGCTGCTGCTAATTCAGCTGATGAACGTTTTTTTGATATGATTCTTTCGCTTGTTTCAATACTAATCGATGAAGTCAAAGCAGGAGGAGGAGGCGGCGGAGGATTTGGTGTCGTATTTTCAAGTGAAATTTTCGATAATGATTTATGTCGACATTTACGAACGTTTTTTCTATTTGATGATAAATCAAACTGTTCATAATGTGCAATTTTATTGGGTGGTTCTGATGAAGAAACTTGCTCACTACAATATAAAAATGGAAAATTCAATAAAAATAAAAATCTATGAGAAAAACAAATTTTTTACTCTTCAGGTAATTTATGTTTTTTTGTTGGTGGTAAAATGGATGAAATTTGCTGTGTTGACGGTTGTAATGGAAGACGTGTGCGATTTTTAATAGAATTTTTGTTATGTTGAACTAGGAGAAACAAAACAATATAATTGATAAAAATATGAATAATAAAAATTTAATTTTTTTTACTATTTCTCATGATTGCTGAATTATTAAGTTTTTCATCAGTTTGTATTTCACGAATAATTGGTGTTGTTACTGAATGATTATTATTATAATCCATCGAACGTTGTGTTGTGGTTGTTGATATTCGAACTGATGGTGGTGTTGAATAAAAATTTGTTAATTGAACTGAATTTATTGATTCAGTACTTGAAGGTGATGGTAATAGAGACATATGAATGAACGCTTGGTGTCCAGAATCTATAAAAGAAAAAAAAAGAGAACATGCACGTGAAAATAAAAATCATAAAATTTACCTAAATGTTTTGTCGTAAAAATTGGATGATCATTTGATGTCGATAGATTTGAATGTTCACTTGAAGATATTAAATGAACTGGACGTGAAAGCATTTTAGCTGAAACTATTAAAGATGTTTAAAAAAAGACAAAATAAAATATTTAACAAAACTATTTTATTTACGAATTTTTGTTGTGGGTTGTTGTGACCAAATATTTGATGATGAATTCTGTTGAATAACTAATTTTGGTGTAACAGTATTTGTTGTTGTTGATGATGATGAAGATGATGATGAATTTGTTATTATCGGTTGAACGAGTGTTACACGATTTTTCGATAAAAATGTTGGTTGCTTTATATTAGTATGGTCATTATTAGTTGTGAAATCATTTGTTGATGATATTAATGTTTGAATCTTAGGTGATGTGGTACCTGGTGGAATTAATGTAACCAAAGATGATGATGTTCCTGTTGTATTCGTTTGTTGAGGATTAAATATGTAAGTTTTTGATGTTGTAAAACCACCGTTTGTTGCTGAAGGTTTGTCAAGAAATTGAAATTGTAATGCTGTTGGTGGTGATGATTTACCTGTTGTTGGTGTTACTAAACGAATCGAGGATGAAGGTGTAGATGTTTGTGAATGTCTAATGGATGAACTAAGATTTTTATTCATATGATCTGGGTGAGTATCAGCTAGAACAAAACAAAAATACAAATCATTTATTTTCATAACATCAATAAAAATAAAACTACATACGAAGCGATAATTTTTTAACAATCGATACTGGACTTGCCATACTTGACATAGATATTGTAGGTAGAAGTGGTTTTGGTTGCTAAATGAGAATAAAATGATGTTTTATTCAAGGAAAACAGTTAATTCCATCAGATGACAAACCAATTTTAAACCAGAATAAATTACTGTTGTCGATAATGAAGTTGAACAATCAATTTCGCTTGGCAATTGTTGTTGTTGATCGTTTAAGACATCACTCTGCATTGATAATCGATGTGAACATATACGGATTGTCATAAACAATGATCAAACTAAAATCACCATCGAAATAAATCGTTATTTTATAGGTTGGAAAATTTATCAAATACATATATAAAGAAAGAAAAAAAGCAGCAACAACCTACCCAAGGAGTGCGAGCGACGTCTTTTGGCTACATATGCGAAGAAAGAGAGGTTTTTTCTTTTTTCCTTCTCTTTCTTTTTTTTCTTTTTTTTGTGCCTTCGCCAATCTATCAAAAGGTTTGGTTCGACTCTCGTATTTTTTTCCTTTTCTCTTCGTTCGAACTCAACACACAAGTAACGGCGGTAGCTATCGTCTGCAATATATACACTAATGACAATCTCGATCATCATGCGTTTGTATGTTGAGACATGCCTGACCTACATGAAATTGCAAGTTGATTGGACGATAGGAACGATGTAGGAAAGAAAAAGATTTGACAACACATACATACTGGAAAAAGAGAACACAATAGTAAAACATTATATTAATGTGACTATATTTTTAGTACTAGGCATAGACACATCAAGATATTTATTAAGAAAAAGGTAGATTTGTTAAATAATTTTTTAATATCGAAATTGATTTTTTTTTAAATTTTATTTGCTGCTATCATATTAAAATGAAGTTTTTCTTTTCTATACCACCTGCTTGTTTTGAGTATACAAGAAAACGAGAGGAACTCTCTTCGTTTTTTTTCAAATAATTCTGCATTCAATGATCGAAAGAAAAGAGAAAATAAAGTGAATACAACCAATATGAAGTTTCTTCTTTTCTTCTTGTCGTCTTACGAGCGTTTGCTTTTACTTGCTCGATGCTATTCGGAAGAATACAGACAGACAAAAATGAGAAAGTATACTAGAAAAAACAACAACGACAATGACGACGGAGAAAGAAGAAAAATTCAATTCAAATAAACAAATAAATTTATTTCATGAAATATTTTAATTCATAAGTAATTTGAATTCTTTATCTCTGTTGTCACACGTAAACAAAAGGAAACACTGTTTCTTGGATTGATTCCACAATGATAATAGAATTTTCCTGAAAAAAAATACTTACTTACAAATTATTGTAATCGAACAAAGATTTCGTTTATCGATTGAATGTCAAAAACCAAATGATTCAAATTGACTCTGATTATTTAGACCATTAACAAACAACTGAAAAAATTGTTTTCTTTTTCTAAACATCAATTAGAAGTTGGATAACTTTCTGAATCGTAAATATCGCTACACATGAAAATAGCAAAGAGCATAAGAAACAACAATTTACGTCATGGAAAATTTATTTCCATTGGTCATTTAATGAATACACTTGATTTAAAACACCTATGCACTTAAACAAAGCACTTCCTTATTTCAAATAAAATGAGCTTTACCTATTGAATATTATTTAATAGTAAGATTGGTTGATTTAAGATGAGTTTTATCATTTATGATCTAAAGATGAGAAATCAACTTTTTATTGGCTCCTGTGAAATTTTTATCGATGAGAAAAATAGAGAATGTTCCAACAATAGGAAATGACTAATTCAAGCAGAATAAAATAATCTGATTGGTGTTGCTACATAGAAACAACAGTATTTTTGTTTGAGTGAATTTTTTTCTTTTTTAAAAAACGATCTAAATACTCTTCTATCAGCAATTTTTTCAAACTGTCTGTTATAGTAATTTTATTTTTTTTTCTACCAATATGCAACACCGTTTAATGTTCCTTTTCAAACATTACAGTATATTAGTAAACATGTTTTTCTTTGCTCAGTGCTCTGTATAATACAGTTAGACGTTATTAAAAAAAAGCAATTGCATATTTGTATCTAGGAATAATGTTAATTTAGACAAATAGGTAAAACTTGACAATTTTCTCGATTGATTTAAAAAGAAAAGTTTGAAACAAGAAATATTATTCAGAAGCCTTGTCCAAAAAGCGTTTAGAATTCAAGATCATAAAAAAAGATGAACAAAATTGAATTGAAATCAACATTTCGAATCAATACAATGAAAAGCGAACTCGTTCTATATTCATGTTTCATTTATTAATAACAAGATGAAGTTAATTTCAAAAATGTTTTCTTTTTGATTTAATTTTGACGAAAATCAAACTTGAGTTTAATACTAATCATTAACAGTAAATACTACGGTTTATCGAAAATATAAACAGAGAAATTATCCTAGATAATGATAGTTAGAATTTAATGAAAATTAAAAATGAAAATTTACAAGTTACTGTATCAATTGATTTAAAATAATGAATTAGAAAACTTAGAATCAATTTAATAATATGTTTTTTGAAACGTTCTTCAGGAAAGTATATTATACATCAATGGAACTTATTTTTTTTATTTTTGAAAAGCAACCTCATAGATCCAAAGAACGTACTATTGACAAAAAAAGTAAATATTTGGCATTGATGCATATTTCCTGTGAGTATTTCACCTTGAATGAAAACTAGTAAATACATTAACCAGTATGACATCACTATAAGATCAAGATAATATAGTACTAAAACTTATTGTTCTCAAGTGTCTATCGTTATTTATCGAAGTAGTCACATGCTATGTTTTACTTTACATCTAAAGCAATGTCACTGAATTGCGCATCATCAACTGATTTATGAAAGGAAAAACAAAATTTAATAAAAAGAGAAAACGACATGCATGACAATTGATATGAATATATGATGAATGCTGTTTCATAAAGAGAATACTGTAAAGTGTTGACTTGATATGATATGAGATGAATGAAAGCACAGTTTATATATAAAATTATGCTCTAATATACTTGAAGTGCTTGGCATAATGTTACATTGTTTCATTTTTATCTTTTCATTATACGTCAGGTATATCAATTAATAATAATTTCAGTCAAAAAAAATGTTCTATTAATATCTTTGAAAAAAACACACTAGCAGAAGTCCTCTATTTCTTCATGATAATCATGTGATAATTATAAAAATTAAAGGATTTCTTCACTGTCATGAAACGTCACATGCATCAACTTTAATTTAAAATAGTAATAACCTTCAAAAACAATATTGAATAGTGATTTTTATATTTTTCATTAGAAAAGAATTTTTTACAAATTATTTTAATAGTTTTAAACTCATTTTCTCATTGAAATCAAGTGTATGAAGCGTTTTTTCAAAATTTTGAAGTGTTACTATTGAATTTGGTTGATCTTCAGTAAATTCTCCAATAACTTTTTCAGCTATAATAGATGCTTCATCATCATTAATTTTTCCAACCTAATATTTAAAATTTTCAATAAAACAAAATCAGAGAAAATTTTACTTACCATCATTTTGAGAATTTCTTGTATATCTTCTTTTGATAGGCGTCCATTTCGATCAACATCGTACATCTAAAAATGAAATAGAAAAATCTGCAATATTTTCACTGACGTAGACTTACACTAAATATAAATTTAATTTTTCGTGCTCTTTCTGTATCATCAGGCGAATATTTAATTGATTCAAAATCAGTTTTTGCTGCTGTTGTTGTTGTTGTTATTGTTTGTACCGATGAACGTTGTTCATGATGAGATCCAGCTCGTTTACGTTGAGCAAATGTACTCATAAAATCAACAAATTGATTAAAAGTTAATTTACCATCGGATCCAAAATCATTAAATATAACTTTAATCAGTCGAAATGCAATTGGGTTTTCATCAAATTTTCGTACACGACCTAAATCATCAGCATCTAAATATCCTTTATATCCTTTACTTTCACCGCGGGCATCACGATCAAGTTCATAAAATCGAGTCCACAATGAACAAATTTGTTTTTTCGAAAGACCTAAAATAGAATCGATTAGATTATATGAACAAATTTCTGATTAAGATTGAGATTTTCTTTTTCTTTTTCATTCACCTGTATTAGTGCTGATTTCATTGACATCGACCGTGCTAGGTAGTGATGTTGATGTTCCCATTCTCTGCTCGCTAACAAGCTCGTCTGTTTGAAATTGAATCTCGTTGATTTGCGTTTGTGTTTCGATTCGATTTGATGAGAAGAGAATATATATTCTAAATATTATACATGCCTAGAAAGAAAAGGGAAATTATATTCAGAAATTCCTTTCTCCACACATATACTCGTGTATTGCACTATTATGATTATGATTATTATTATTACCTACAGTAATGATGAAGTATTGTTGTATGATAGCGTGGGGCGACAAAAGAAAAAGGAGAAAATCAAGTTCCTTCTTTTTACGGAATAAACAATTATTTGGCGAACGAAGGAAATACAGAAGAGAAAAAGAGAACAATTCTCATAGTCGTAATGGTGTAGTTAGAAAAATGATTAAAAATTATAGCTTTCGAAATTAAAAAATTTGAGAGAAAGAAAGAAAGAAACTACATATTGTCAAATTGCTTATTAGTGACTCTTGAACAATTTTAAAACAAGACGACATGTCCATCACAGTTACATATCTATCTAGAGAACGGCACTCGTCTTGTTACTTTTTTTTATCTTGACTATATCAAGCACGGACATTTTGCTTGGTGAGTGTATGAATGGAGAAAAGAGAGAAAAAAAACCTGTAACTATGTGTCTCAACTAAAGGCGAGTGATAGGACAGAATACAGATGCTCATTGATGACAAACAATTGAACGTCTGCTCTGAACGTTATTTTTTTTTCTTTCTACGCTTAACATTCTCTTCTTTTCCGTTGAACACAGAAGAGAAAGAAAAAGAGAAAATATTGGACTAAAGAAAAATGATTACTTACTCGTCGTCATCTGGTCTAAGAAGAGAAAGCAGTTGCCCGCACACATCAATAAAAAAACGATGCTGGATGGACATAATCAGTTGTACAATGATGTATAATGGACATAGAAAAAAGTCGAATATGAAAAGAAATTATCGCTGATTTGTTAGAGCTATTTAAATCTTGATAAAAGCATTGAAAAAAATTATTGTCATAATTACTTTGAATGGTTTTCTTTCTCTTTTTCACTTCCATTTTCCTTCGCGATCTAACTAACTTTTATTGCGCGAAATAAAAGAAAATAAAAGATTCACTCAACAGAATTTTCTTATTCGCTGGCAAATCTGGGTTAAGTAAAAATGAACCACCAACAGAGCTAAGACAAAAAGAAAAGGGAAAAAGATTTCTATTTCATTTAATTTCAATAGGGTGACTTTTGGTAACCACGGTAAAATTTAATACAATGTTTGCTTTTTCATCAGTACAATGTAAGCAAAAACTATTATTAATCTCAATAGAGTAACTTTATTTTTCTTCATACAAGATAAAATGGATTGAAAGCGCTACAAGGTAATTATTACTTCTCAACTGAAAAGATTGCACAAAAAAAAGAGTCATAATAAGTAGAAATTACGAATGATTTTGTATTGATGCGCAGATAGTAAACTTTTCAGAACGATCTTTTTTAACCTGGAAATTCATTTTTCGATACTTGAACTGTACGGTTAATAGTCTTGAAGAATTAAACCATATTTCTGTTTTATAAGCGATTTTTTCATACTAGAGAATTTGAAATACCACAAACATCAACTGTTGAAATAACAAATGTGGAAAAAATTTACTTGATACGCATCACCAGATTAATATTGATTTCTTTTTTCATATTGTTTTTTTAGGTGAAAATTAAAGATTAATCTGATTTGCTCCAAATGTATCGTTCATCGTCAACAACAGGTAAAAGATTTGTATTCAACTTGACAACAGTATTTGCTCATATTATAAATATGAAGAAAGAAAGTTTTTTTTGATAAACCAATATTAAACTAATTTAAATGTTATCTCATTTGAATGAACTGAAATAGATTTGATACTGTTAATTATATATGTCAAACTTGAAACTTGAATTCAATTGAAAATTGAAAATTTCAATTTTCAACTTTTAAACCAATAGCATCCTGAATAATCGTGACTTATACATATATCGCTATGAGTTGAAAGTTGAAAGTTGAAATTTTCTATTTTCAACTGAATTCAAGTTTCAAATTTGATTCTACTGCTGTTAATGAACCTTTTTTTGTAGGATCACGTTCAAAACATATGGCAATAATAAATTGTATATTTTTACTTAGTTTTATAAAGCTTAGCGACTCACCTAAGAAAAATATCTTGATAACAATAAACAGTCTGTTTCTAAGATATTGTCAAAAACATATTCAAATATAGATTGTTTGGATCACGATAGCAATTCAAAAGATAAAATAAGATCTGAAATAGAAAATTCTTTTCTTTATGTAATGCTCTTAAATAACTCATATATTTCTATGATAGATCACTAATAGTATTTTAACGAATAGCTGTAATGTAGTTCTCTGTTTGCATAATAAATCAAACTAGAGTGAACATCGTTCTCGATATATAAAAAGACAATACCCGAAACTTTTTGTAAAAGATAATCATCAATAATCTCATAAATCATAAATCATAATATGAATGATAAGATGACGACATTGATGACGATCATGTTCAATAAAAATCTGTTAAATATATTCGTCGTCACTGAATATGCACATACAAATCTTCTACAATCATCTATAATGAAAGGAATCAACAGTTTTTTTTTCTATTAAATATACAAAAACATCAGGCTACAAACGTGCATTTAAATTAATATGAATATTTATAGATATCATTTGTAACTTATTTCTAGATAAAATCTTTTTTTCTTTTACCGTATCCTATGTTATCTATATCAAATAATGCAAAACATTCTAAGATATGATCAAAACAGATGTATTTATTTCTTATCAGGTGAGGTATTTCCAATGGGGGGGGGGGGGGGGGGCGGAGATTAGTTTTATAAA